TTTAGTTGTGACAACACGTGTCTTTGATTTTACTTTACGTGTTACTCGGTTACTGCAATCAAAAACTATTGATATCTTAGACGGTTTGCACCTTATTACAGCTCTTAAAAATACATTTTTTTAAAAAATCTAATTCACCTCCTCAAGGCCGAGAAGGTCACTACAGACGAGGAGGCTACTTATTTGTGGTTATAACCCTCTCTCAACTCTATAACTCCGAAACACGATCATTGATGAACAAGGCCGCTGCGCGGAGAAATGAGTTGAGCGCGGTACTACCAGGGGCGTGGTGGGCATTTATTGTGGTGGGTATTTCCATCAGAAACGATATAGATAGTTTTCATAATAACTGCTATGAAGCAGCATGTTTGCTTTCAAGTAAAGCTGAAATTTTTGTTTTAAAACCAAGAACCTGTTCTATTCAAAAAAATCGTTCTAATGTTCCATCAGAGTCTGTTTCAGAATACTTCAAAAGAGCTGTTACTATCTCTCTTATAGATCATGTATCTACATCTATATCTACAAGGTTTAAATTAGAAACTGTCCCTGCATATAAAGGGTTATTAATTATTCCATTTAATATTATTTATTTTCTTAAAAGACCCAAAACCCAATTGTGTTGGAGGAAGCAGTTTGAAACATTCTGTGATTTTTATATAGATGATTTCCCTAATATCAGTGCCTTGAATGGGGAACTAGTTCTTTGGGAAAAATACTGGGAAAGTTTATCTGGGACTATTCCTGACAATATATCTTTAACCCTTAAATCGATATTATTTCCTGGATTTGAAAATATTAAGATAGCTTTAAGGATACTTGGGACACTTCCTGTTACTTTATGTGAAAGTGAGAGGAGTTTTTCTGTTATGCGTTGGTTAAAAGGCTATATGAGAACAACAATGTCAGAAGATCGACTTAACGGTTTGGCATTAATGTATATCTATCAAGAAATTGTTCCTTGTATTGATAATATTATCAATAGATTTTCTATAAAAAATAGACGACTTGATTTCAATAATTAGTGTCTATACTGTTTATTTTATAACACACCAACAATTTTTGAAATTTTTGTCTATACACACCTCTCTTCATATAACAGCTAACAAATAGGCATGGAAACCCCTGGAAAGGCCTATGGTGTTACATTTAACCCAGGACGGGTTAAATGTAACCCCATACTTTTGTTTGGGATTAGCTATATGATTAGTGATCATAGTTCAGGCAAACATTACCCATCTCTTTTTGACAATCTCTTTATATCATTTTCTAGCGACAAAATAAAAAATTAAAAAAATTATTTTAAATAAATTTTCTCTCAATCAACCTTATAATATTCATAAGTTTTTGTGCCGTTTAAATCAGTTTTTTGCTGTAGTTGTCAAAACCATTAGCTTTCTTTTTATTTCATCAAAAATGATCTGCTTTCTTGTTGTTAAAGCTTAACTCGGTATGTCTTTTTTTTTTTAATCTTGTTATATAAGAATATATATAATTTTTTATTTCACGATGTATATAAATCCATTTGTATTTTTGTCTTTTCTTAATTTTTCTTTCTCTGATTGTCCATGTCCGGAATAAATATGTTCCTGGACATGCTGATGAGCCCTGATATTGGGCGAAACAATCATTTGTTGGTTTATATATTTATTATATATTTATATAAAAAAAAAGTTTCAAAGTAAAACTAAGATATGAGCTTCTCAATGAAATAGCAAAAAGAAAATCTCTTTAAATCCTCCAGCCCAGGGGCAGGAGGATTTAGGGGACACATAGGGAGCAGGCTATGGGAGCGATGGCCTCCCTTAGATGTTTTTTTTATAAGAACATTTTGTAAAAACGTAAGTAAGTTTGGTAGGCTGTTTAAAAGTGGCATAAAATTGTGTAGTCTAAATTCTTTTTTTTTGGGCTTGCCTGCTTAAAAATCGTTAAACCTGTAAATAGCTTCCTTTAATCGTTTGGATCGAACGAAAAGAAAAATTGTCCACCCCCCTTTACTACATAGTCCAGATCCACCCTTACTTATTTCCCCTCCCCCCCCCCATTTTTTCTATTTGCTTTGTGGGCGTAGTTGCGTCACTTACAACATGGCGTAAGGCGCATTTTTTTGACGGGGTAAATTAAAAACCTGCGTCCGCCCCTGATATATATATATATATATATATATATATATATATATATATATATATATATATATATATATATATATATATATATATATATATATATATATATATATATATATATATATATGTATATATATATATATATATATATATATATATATATATATATATATATATATATATATATATATATATATATATATTTAACTATTTACTTTACACTAAAAAACAACTCCAAGAGACATGACAAAAAATAAAAATACATTTAAAGTATTCAATTAATGTAATAAAATCAAAATGTTTAATTATGACAGTACACCGCTTGGCTGCCAAAAGTAATACTTTTGTTTACAACAAAGTCACGTGATAGCAAAATGCACTACAGTCGTGGCCAAAAGTTTAGAATCACATGTGAACTTTTCATTTTTTTGTGTTTTTGTCGAACCTTGGTCAGAAATATTAATTCTACTTAGTTGTCTTTGTTCCGGTATTTAGTTAAACCATTTGTGGTAGCTAAGCAGCAGCTTTAATTAAATTTTTGATCATTTTAATGGGAAAAAAAAAGGAATTATCAGAAGCTATTAGAGGTCAAATTCTTATATTAGCTCAACAAAAAAAAGGTAGAAAGTAATGTTTTCTGATGAAAGCACATTTGAACAATTTGCGATATCATGTAATTATGTTAGAAGACCACAAGGATCCAGGTGTGTTCAGTACACTGTGCCTACTGTAAAACAACCAATGTCAATAATGGTGTGGGGTTGCTTCTCAGCTCGATTTCGCGGCCGGTTACATTTTGTACCGAAGGGGCAGAGAGTAAATTCCCAGATTTATCAGGGAATTCTACAGAAAAAGCTGGTCTCAAGCATGGAGTCATATAGAACAACCATATTTCAGCAAGACAATGCTCCATGCCACACTTCCAAGGTGATGCAAGCCTTCTTCAAGAAAAACAAGGTATCCGTTCTCGACTGGCCGGGTAACAGCCCCGATCTTAACCCCATAAAGAATTTATAGACCATACTGAAGCGTAAAGTGAGAAGAAAGGCGCCACAGTATATTGAAGATTTACAGAGGAAGCTAGTGGAAGTTTGGACAAAATAGATAACACCACAACTGTGCAAGAAACTTGTTTGGAGCATGCCACGTTGAATTGCGGCTGTATTAAAGAACCGCGGTTATCCTACCAAATATTAAATTTTTGGAACTTTTTATATTGTTAGATTTGTTCAACATTGTAGGTGCTATATACTCTAGTCTAATATGCAGTATTATATGAATTGGTGCTATACTATCTTTATTTGTATGCAATAAATTAGAAAAAACATGGTTTTTGTTGAAAAATAATGGGCGATTCCAAACTTTTTGCCACGACTGTATTTGGTTAGAACAACACTCTTGCTGTAAACTAAGCTAAAACACATAGCTTTGAAACCATAGAAACAACATTCCTCCCAACGTTGACATACTTGTACCGTATAGATTTTCTCTAGACTAATAGAAACGGGTTTTTGACGGGTATTTGTTTTGGTTTTCAGACGGTGCCTACATTGTTGAAAAATAACGCAAATTTTTTGTTAGTGCTCTATTGCTGTTCAAACATTTTTGATTTTAAAGAAATCGCAGACCTAGAACTTTTTTTTTTGTTTATCATACGCATGCGTATAGATCTTTTTTACAACTTTTTATTTAATTTGCTTTTTTGTCAGTTTGACAATTTTCTTTTTTTGGTGTCTGCGCGAAATATACACGAGGTCAGCAGTAATATTAATATTAATATAAAAATAAATATTAATATTGTTATAAAGGTAATTAAAACAAGCAACATAAAACAGACTTGGGGTTGTTCATAAATTACGTCACGCAATTTTTGAAATTTTTAACCCATTACCAAACCCATCCCCACCCCCTCGTAACATTTTAATGACCCTGCCCCAATCTTACGCAACGTTTTTGTAATACCATATTCCTCTACTCTTTAAAAAAATTTTAAAAACGATTTTAAATATAATAATCTCTATAGTTTCCTTGCCTTTTTTGAGTAAATTAATTAGTACTTTTCAGTCTCTTTAATAATTTTTTTTCACCCTAGTAGTATTAACATAATTTTCTAACATCTAGCAAATTCAGCTAGCCGAGGATATGTTTCGCTCTAAGCTAATAAACAAAAGATTCAAGGTTCGTCTCCTAGTGCTAAAAATTTTTTTTTCAGTTAGTGCGGTTAGGTTGTTTTTTTTTGTTGCTAAACACTTTTGAGCACCAACTAAATAAAGTTATGCACTTGGAACATATAATATCAAAGCGCAGAACGTGCAATGCACATAGACTGTTACAGCGCCTACGGCTGTAATAGCCTGTTAACAAGCTACAACTACTTCGTTAATGAAGTGTACAAATCGACTAGTAAGTACGACTAGTAGATTTAGGCGCAGTTGATCTTACAATCAACATTTAAAAATTTAGGGTTTTGGTCTTTTTTAGTTAAAAAAAAAGTCTGCTCTAGATTTAAAACTATTCCTCTTTGTAACAATTTTTTACAAAATCGCCTACCTCTCCCTCCCACCCCTCCATACTAAAGCGTGCCGTAACTTATGGACGACCTCTAAATATTATAAGCGTTTTTACATAAAAATAAATAAAAGAGCTATACCTAATCCTAAGCCGCTAGTTAAGTAAGTTATAAGTTACCAGTTTACTATTGTTAATTGATAGTAAAATTGTTACTTTATTAATAAAGTTAGCATTAGTCTTTTAGTGTTTTACTTTAAAAAAAAGATAAACTTTAAAGTTTTAGCCTAATGTTTTCACTAACGACAAAAAAACGACAAAAGATACTGAATAAACTGTAAACAAACATTGAATAACAAAAAAAACATATTTTCCATAGTTCAAATAACTTTAAATAATAAATTTTGGTATCCGTATACAATTAGGTAATAATAATTAATATCTTCAAGAATATCAACTTTTACACAAAGTAATAAGCAAAGATCATACTGATGAAACACCATACCGAAAAAAACCATAGAGCTCCTTGAATTCTAACTAAACTTATTAAACTATTAAATGAAAAAGTCACTAAAAACGTAAAAAGCCAATTTACGCTTAATACTAAAGCACACAACAAACTACGCATGTGAGGAGAGGATTTTTCAGACATAAGTAGATATGGTATAGCCCCCCATCCAATGGAGTAGCTTCCTATAAATAGCAGAAAACAGGTAAAAGCCAACCATGAGTAGCTATCATGGAACATGACATTACTGAACTCTAATATATTTTTATCATTATTGTCAAAATGATATTCCATCGTTTTATTATTTACAGGTATAATAAAAATCTCAAAACATACTCCAAGTAAAAGATTGCAAAAAAACATACCAAAAGCCCCAAGCATAAGAAGTTTTCGCATTCCACATTTATTAATTAAAAAACATGCTGCAATTGTAATAATCACCTGTAATAAATACAAAACTAAAGGTATTTTGCCGATGCGTACCATTTGAAATAATTTCTGACCAAAAAACATCATTGCATTTATTCCACTCATTTGCTGAAGAAACATTAGGATTGACCCATATAGTAAAGCTCGACAAAACCCAGGTGTTCTAAACCCGTAAAGAGCTGCCATAGGACGTTGTTCTAGAATGAAAAAATGAACCAATATATTGAAATCTTTTTGCAATAAAAAAAAAAAAAAAGAAGAAGAGTAATGGGTTATGCACATATATTAAAAAATAAAACAGCTAATACCAATAAACTGTAAATCAAATATTTGAAGCGTTTTAAAAAAATTCTAATTTATGGTACTCCGCGATATAACCTGGCAACTCACACTTTTTGAAATGGTTTTAAATGTTTTTTAACAAAATTCTCAATCACTTTGTCACTTTTACCTTATCATTATTACCTTTTAAATATTAATCCTTGAACTAAACATCAAGGATTTTTATTTTTTATATTAATTAGTCTAAACATCTTTGATAAAATTATTTTACATTTACATTAGTTAAAAAAATTTTATATTTTTTACGAAACTGGTATTGTGGTTTATACTCTTCCAGCTAATATATATATATATATATATATATATATATATATATATATATATATATATATATATATATATATATATATATATATATATATATATATATATATATATATATATATATATATATATATATATACATATATATATATATATATATATATATATATATATATATATATATATATATATATATATATATATATATATATATATATATATGTATATATATATATATATATATATATATATATATATAAATATAAATATATATATACAGTATATATATATATATATATATATATATATATATATATATATATATATATATATATATATATATATATATATATATATATATATATATATATATATATATATATATATATACTGTATATATATATATATATATATATATATATATATATATATATATATATATATATATATATATATATATACAGTATATATGATATGCTATGATAGGCCTAAACAAAATTTTTAAAGGCTAATTGGGTATCGAAATTGCAATACAAATCTCACTTGCAACCAGTTCCAACAGTACAGCAGATACAGTTCTTCCTTTGTAGTCAATGTACTCTTTACCTTTTACTCTAGCTTCTTTAACAACATTCCTTTTCCATAAAGTCTTATTTTTAACCTTTCTTCCACTGCTAGTACTAGGTTCTTCATCCATTATTTTTTAACTATTTAATTATATAATTTTATGAAAATAATATAAAGAGAAGATCAGCATTTATAATACATTTCATAAACTGGCTTTAAAAAAACGAGATAATATTTAATGCTTTTTATTTTGTTAATTTTTTTGTTCAACATTTAATACTTTTATTTCGTACTAAAAGTGTCAGATAATTTAGGGAATTTACGAGAAGTTATATATTGAGTGCTTGAACTAGTAAGTGAAACATGTATATAACTTAATAGAACTATATACCTTGCCCCTAAGTTCTCCTTTTGGGGTTATTTGTCATTTTAAAAGTCACTGACATAGAACCTTTTAACTTACAGACAATATTTCAGCTCTCTATTCAACGTGTACGTAAAGGTCTGACTTAGAATGTTTTACTATACAATGATGGAACTGACTTCAAAGAACAAATTTTCATCAAAAAGTCAAGTGTTAGAGCGTTTTTGTAAACATTGATTCATTTAATGATGCTATGCGAAAGTCAAGAAAGTACAAGCTAACCTGCACTTTAAAAATGATTTTATTAGTTTAGCGTCTGCCCGATGTTTATCTTTTGAATCATAAACTAAGTGATGAACAAAGATTTTATTGATCAAGCAACAGAATTTGAAGGTATTATTTTATTACTTACTATTGGTCTCAATTACTCATCTAAAATAAAACTAATAAAAAATGTTGTCTTAGCTATTCTGTTCATAAATTAGACATTTACTACTTGTCTAACTTATTTAACGAAGTGCACCAACGATCAGGTAAGCCATAGGGTTTTGCAATCCATTTGTAAATTGTCATATTGTGTCCTAAGATTAGCTTTCCATTTCTGGATTCTGATTGGCGGTTATGTAATTTTTTTTAATAGATTTTTTGTTTTATTTTTTACTAAATAAAAAATTTTAAATTTGTTATTCAGTAAAAATAACTTTAATTTTTTTTATATGTATATTTTTTGCCGTTTAAATATTGCTTCATACCAAAATGTATAAATAAATATTTACATGGCCGGGGAAAAAAGAAGACAAAAATATTCTTATCACTAGGGCCTAAATACACAAACATAGTCAATAAACGAAAAAAATAAATATTGAAGTAATAGGTAAAAACCAACTCTAAGCGTTGTTCCACTAAATCAGAAAAAAAATTTAAAATATAAACATTAGGAGTCATTTCTTGATTAATAATATTTTTTAAAATTTAATTTTTTATTTGTTGCATTTTTTTGTCTTTTTCTCTTTGTTTTCTAAATTTTAAATTAAATACTTTGTATAAATACTATTTTCACCATGTACCAACTATATTATTTGGCCTTTATAATGATTGAAATTTATAAAATTCTATATTATTCTCTCTACAAGGATTCTTTAATTTGCAATTTGTTGACTTCAAACTGTTTTGTCAATTGTAAGTTTTTCTCTAACCTTAACCAAATGATGGTAAAACAATGTTAACACTGAGTGGTCTGTAGTATTCTGCTATTGCAATGCCACAGTCACTCAATACAGTTTCACTTTAATTAACGTAATGAATGTAAATCCTTCCTTGAGTGAATTTCCTACTAACACTTAAACTGTTGTATGATTTTTATTATCTAATTACATAATTTTATGTATTATTAAGTTTATTAACTTTATACTCTACACAGTCAATGATACATTTTACAGAAGGGAAATTTTTCTGCATTTATTAAGAAATTGTCTTTTAACTGACTACATACTTGGTCAAATGCAGATGGATCCAAGTCTTATACATAAAATTTATCTATGTATTTACAGTATTTGAAATTGTTCCTTTTGAAATATTGTATAAAAGTAAATAAAAACAAAAATCAAAGTTCTTGCGTAAACAAGTCAATGTTAAATTAAATGTATCGAGTGGCTTTAATTCTCTTGGTCGTCCGGTAAATGAACTGTTTTTGTTTATAGGTTGTTTTTAAAAATTGTTTTTTCATTTTTTCCAGAATCTTAAAATGCTCAAACAACTTGTTAATTGATCAAAACCCTGTATAAACAAAATACTGGATAAATGAATCTACTAGTTCACCTTCAGCAACATTTATTTTAAAGTCTACTTCATCTAGTAGCGCTGACAATGATGTCGATAAAGAGGAATCTACTTCATTTTGTGGCGATAAAAATGGTACTGATGCAGACAAATCGCCATTGACATTTTCAAACAAACATTGTTTGAAACTTTGCAATTTTCTGGATGCATGTGACACTGAAAAGTTACTTCATGAATGTAATATTTTCCTAAAAACTTTTATAAGTCTTATTTGTGTACCAAATGGGGTTTTATCGGTTACTCTTTGTAAGAAATGCTTTTGACATAATCAAGTAGGTTTGTTATCTTTAAATTAAATTTGTTAGAACTATAATTCCATCTACATGATCATACCTGTTTGAAAAACATTCATAAGAAGCAAATTGCAACCCAGACAATAACGCCATTTTTCACATCGTTAATTTGTTTTGATTGTTACAAACACTGCCTCGTTTTAACAGAATATTATGAGAAGCTCAATTGTTCTCTTTTAAAAATAAATTTTTTTATATCTAAAATCAGCAAAGATTGCTTGTGGGTTTGTATTTCTTTTTAAATTTTTTTTTTAATTTTTCTTTTTTGAAAAATAATTTTTTAAATATAATTGAAAAAGTAAGTTACAAAGTTATGTTAACTTTGTTCAATATTAATATAAAAATATAATACGTCTGTGGGAAGACGCGGGTTGAAATGCAAATTATTTGTACTTTATGTTATTTTTCTCTTATGTAAAATTTTTTATCTATTAAAAAAAATATATTCCACTCCTTTAATCAGCAAATACTCCGTTTCTTTAGGATAAATAGCTCGACTTAATTACAAATGTCTAGACAAACGCATCGCTAAATATCGTTATTCTCTGTAAAGACTAAAAAATAGAAAATAAAATATAGCAAAAACATTAGCAAAAAACATAATCTTTTTGTACTAAAAATTAAAAAATAAACCTTTTAATTTAAATAAATAGTTCCGTAAACTAAAAGGCTGAGAAGTATTTTCTAAATAAACCTTGCGCAGAGTGTCAATCTTTAGTTTACGGAACTATTAAATTTAAATTAAAAAGTTTCCCAGCAAACATGTTAGCGTCGAATCAACGTTGAAAACCAGTCGCAGCGTAGAAAAAGCGTTACAGTCACAAAAACAACGTGCTTTCAACGTTGAATCAATGTCTGTTTTTGTATACTAAATCGCGGTAAATTGAAACGTTGAATAAGCGTTGAAATTGTAACGTAATTTAGCCTCTCAAAATAAAACGTTTATTCAACGTGGAATCAACTTACGCAAAAAGCCACTTTAAAAACGTTTCGAAGTTTATGCTTTATCAACGTTAAAAAAAAACCGCTTTTTAAACGTTACATATTCAACGTTGAATAAGCGTATAAATTTAAAGGTATCTTGTCTTCTCAAAAAAATGCGTTTATTAAACGTTGAAAATAAGTACGAAAATAATCACTGTAAAAAAGTCGCAAAGGTAATGGTTTATCAACGTTAGACATTAGCTGATTTTTCAACGAATTTAAACTATTTGAAAAACAACACTTATTCAACGTTATTTCAACGTTGGTTGAAAATGTGCTAATTAAAAAACGTTGTAAAAGTGTTACTTTGCCAACGTTAATAAAACGTTGTTTTGACAATGTTGAGGAAGTGGCACATTGAAAATTATTGTCTCATATGTATATATATATATATATATATATAAAATATATATATATATATATATATATATATATATATATATATATATATATATATATATATATATATATATATATATATATATATATACATATGAGACAATAATTTTCAATGTGCCACTTCCTCAACATTGTCAAAACAACG